TCCCTTTGAGACATCTGAATTGCGGTCGCATTTCACCGACGTACAGAGTAGCTATGCGGAGGAGGAGAGAGACAGCAGCACTCAGAGATTTTAAGCAGCAGCTACTTCGATGGTTAATTAAAAGTTAGGAGACGGGTTGGTTAAAAAAAATTAGAGATCATGCCACTGAAAAATCTGTTTGTTAGACATGCAGAGCTTTTTCAGCTACAAATGGCAATGGATTGTAAGTTTAAACAAGTTGGTATTATGATGCAAGAAGCTTGAGAAAACATAGTTTGTTCTTTTATAGTTAAAAAATCCTGGCTTCTCAGGGGACAATGACTCACAGTTACAGGTTAAAATGAACATGTTTTTTCTTACTGTGCAGACAGAATCAGACTGCAGAGCTTCTACATAACTTCAATTTTAGTTTCTGACATCATTATATCAGTAAAGAGGTTCATAAATGTTTTTAAGCAGAGCACAGAGAGAAGTACTGTAGGGAGAGCTGCAGATTTAAGATGAAACAGATTTACTGGGATATTCAACATGCAATAAAATATATCTCCAAGTTTACCACAAAGTTTACAAGAAAAAAAATGCTATGCTATATTTAAAATGCAGCATATCCAATTTTTTCTGGATGGAATTGAAATTGTACTTCTAGGGATGCATGATATATGAACTTTGGAATCGGCTCTTATTAATTATTTTTTTCATGCATTGATGTTTTTGGGCCCTATATTTGTAACGCACTAAAAGGCATCTCTCTAACATCTATAAATATAAATATCATGTATTTTGGTCTTGTGTTTTCAAAAATAGGAAAGCTTTCAATAAATATGTTTGAGCTCTTTTTTTTTTTGGGAAAATGAACCTAAGGAAAGGGAAGCTGTCGGTGGTTTTCAGATTTCTGCGTTGGATTTTTAGGTTTAACGGTTTGATTATAAAGCTGTTAGACCACCGTTGGCTTTAGATTATTACCATGAGTGCAAATATTTTAGAAGCTACCCCTTTAAATTCTGCCAATAAGGAAACATGCTGCAATGCAACAAACACATTTAGAGCAGTAGGTTGTGTTTCTATAAACGCATGTCATCTGCTCAATGGGGGCAGATATTCTGCTGCAGATGTGCTTTTCATCCAGACCGCTAATCTTTATTCACTGTGTGACTCTAAAAAGGAAGGAAACAACTTATCTCCATGTCTGTTCAGCGTGTGAGCCACAGTCTTCTGGTGAATCGGCAGGATTCCTACATTTACATCAATGTTTCTAGCTTTGGTACCATGCCAGGATCACTCACCTTGTCATGTCAGTAGTAGCAGCATCTCTTCTCCTCTCTGGATGTTAACTTTTCAAGCTCCAACTTATTCCTTTGTGCATTTTAGATCATTGGTCTCTTGCCTTTTTTCTGGCCTCCAGTGCATCTAGAGACACGTCTTTGCACATGTTAGCGCCGGCTCTGTTCTGCTCCCTGCTCTGGAGGGATTGCAGGGAGAGAAAGGAGACAGGAATGCAGCAAAGAGCCAGTCCACCGGCCTTTGATGAGGCAAGCATAATGTGGAGAGGGGGGGTGTTCAATAGGGAAAGCGCTTTTTTTCAGGATGCTGCATCTTTAGTTTTCTTGTTGGGGGTTTCTGTATTCATTAGAGACTAGTTAAGTTGGATTTCTGGGGTTTTTCTACTTTTTTTGTAATTTAAAGAACATCTTTGTTACTAAAACTTTGGCCTAATCTGTTTTTTATTCGGACAGACAAAGGTTGAAAGAATTTGAATGCAATGCAATTTGAAGTTTAAAGAATGCTTTCAGAGATAATCTGTCCAGCTGTTTAATATATCACTCAGTTTGTTCCTTCTGGCTGATTTGGAGGGTGACCCTCAGTGACTGAGCTCTCAGTGATGGGGCAGTACCTCTGGCCTTAAGCCGCACAGAGCATAGTTCACAACCAGCAGTTGAAATAATACTTTTCTCTACAAAGCAAAACTGTGTGTTTAAAAATAAATATGTCTGATCTAAAAAGTGCAGAAAGTCACCTCCTTAACGTAGCTTCGATCATTTGTGAAATATTTTAAAACATATTTCACAGGTGGAGGAGGTGCAAGACCATGATATTGATCATATTCTCCTAATTTAACACATTTTATTGTTATGAGTAGTTTTGCTCCTGAAGGTAAAATGTTAAGCATCTGACTGAACATTTATGCATCCTTCTGATCGACGTCAGGCCTTTCCCAGAACCACTGGGTCCCATTTAGAAACAGAGGGGCCCCAGTTCCGGCATGTTGACAGATATGCTACATGTAACCCAAGCCAACGCACGACTTTTTGTAAAAAGCAGCAATCAAATGAATATTTACCATTGAAAACATGGTTGATGCTTCTGTCTGTCTCCTTCCTTTTAGTCTCCTATTTACTTCCTTCCCCTTTCTTTCTCATTTCCTTCTCTCTTACACTTTAGTCTTTTCTTTGCTATTCTTTTTATATATATAGAATTATCTGAAGTCAAATTAAACACAAATACACCAATTCAAAATTCTAAAGAATGGAGTGTACTTTCCCAGATTTTTAGTTTTTTATATTGCTTTGTGGCTTAAAAAAAAAGTCTACTGGGACTGAAACTGTCTGGTTTGTCACCAAAAGTTTGAATGAACAGATATAAGCTGACACAACTTGTTTTTTTTTAAGGTCCTTTATTAGCTGGGCTCAGACACGTTAAAATGCTTTCAGAAAAGCTCTTCCTGTGTGAAGTACTGTAGAGAAATGAGACAGCAGGCTAAAATAGCTTCCCTTTTTTTGGTCTGTGACTGTTTTCCGGAAACTTTCCGTCTTGTTCAATGCATACATTTAGTCTCTAGTTACCTTTAACTTTGCCGTTTTACAAATTTCACTCATCTTCCTTTCATGAAGCCCAGAGAATGTGAATATCTACACATAAACAATACTTTCACAACACAGCTGGCTAAGCTGGTTTTTAATCAGTATTTAAATACAGGTTTTCTAAGAGTCTTCAGTAAAACAAAAGGGTATAATATTCAAATCACAGAACATATGTAGAAAAAGATGCCTGGATTTCCAGAGATATTTTATGCCGTTGCAAACACATTTGTGTGGTACTGTTTTTGTGAAAACTCTTCCCCCCGGGTAAACATCCAGGAAGAGGACGCCTGCCAGTTTCAGCAGCTCTACATTTATCCAGGCTTCCATAGGTCCCTCAAAGTGACATCCATCTGTCGCATGTTGCTCCTCTCCGGGGTTCCAAACCTTTCTTTTATCATTGCTCTAGAGAGAAAACCAGCAAGTCACTCCAGCATATCTTTGTGAAACATCTGTCCTGCCCGTTGTTTCTCTTACACCACTTCCTTCTGCTTTTTCAGTTTTATGCCAGATTAATTTAAAGACACTTCTTTCAATCTGAGCAAAAGCAGGACAAAATCTCCATTACACTCCTCTCTAATAAAGAGAAGGAGGTTTTAGTTTGGATAGGAGTACATTGATTGAACTAAAGGTCTTAAGCACAGTTGGCTGCATCCAAACTTGAGATCTGACAACAGATTTACAAGTATGCTTGTGACTCCTCGGGGCCATCGTTTGCTTTTGCCTCAGAGCGTCCCAGGACACCAAAAGCTAAGATGACCTTCTGAGGATAACCATTGGTTTACTAAACCGAAGTCTGTATGACGGTCATTACAACTCTCTCCTCAGCTTCACCTCCGCTCTTTATTTCTGCAGCTGATTTGTACGACTTTTCTTGTGCTGCATTTCCATCCACAGTTTGACCAAAGGTGCTTCCTTGGTGTTTCTCTTCAAAAGTGTCTCTCAGGGGGATTTCCTTCATCTCAGTTGGGTCTTGAAGCAAAGAGAGTCTCTTAGAAAGTCTCTGAGGCAGGAAACTGGTTAAGGAAATTCGGTTGGACGACCTCAACTCAACATTGCCATTGTTAGCGTCCCCCTCTAGAAATGGGGAAGGGCCTGCCCAGGCTGAAGGCTGCTGCTTCTTCTGATGTCTCTGTTTGTAGATGAAGATGACCAGAAACCCTAAGATCATCAGCAACAACGCTGCACCTATTACTGCCGCGACAATCTTTCCGTGGGGTGTATCATCTTTCTTGGCCTTGTTGATGGGGTAAACTGTGGGTTTCTCAGAGGTTGAGGATTGTACTCCATCCCCACCTGGACTTGGCTTGGTTCCTGTCGATTTTGTTGATTCAGGCTTGAACGTCGTGGTTTCTGCATTGATGGTTGTGAACTCTGATGTGGATGTAAATGAGGAGGTTGTTTCCTTCAGTTTAGTATGAGAAGTTGAAGTCCTAACTGTGACAAGACTTTGTGTGATAATGCTCAGCGTCGCAGGTTCTGTTGAACCATTGACCCGGTCACTCATTTCATTAGTCGGACCCACTGTTGGTTCTGTTGAACCATTGACCCAGTTACTCAGTTGACTAGTTAGAGCCACAGGTGTTTCTGTTGAACCATTGACCTGCTTACTGACTTCACTTGTTGGTACCATAGTTACAGATTTCCAGAGTCTAGACTGAGCGGTTGTTGCATCCGGTAGACCTGTGAGAGTTGCTTCTGTCCGTATTTCTATTGGGAGAGTTGCAGGAGGCGTGTTTTGAGTTGGCTGTAATGGCGCAGCAGAGCTTCTTTCCTCCTTCACTGTTATCCCATCAGCTCTTGTGGCAGATGTAGAGTCGAAATCCTGGATCTTTGACATCTGGTGGGAAGTTGATGGCTGTTGTGTCGTCAGCTGGCTGTCTGGGACCGCCAGGCCCGTTGTTTCGTTGGCGGAGTCGTTAGGCAGCTGGGATGTTGCCGTACTGATTGCTGCCAGCAGCAGAAAGGAACTGAAGATGTCCATACTGGCCTCAGGTCTTCTGTTTCTCGCTAAAACAGAAGGAATTGTGGATCCGTTATCGGGTAATAACATGTTATCGAACAACTACTGCAACCAGTTATCTCTGCAACTAAAGGTTTTCATTCTTGCAATGGTAAACTACCATTTAACCCGTTAACTGCCATGTCCTATCTGCATATAGTGCCTCCAAATTTGCAGCCTCATGCTGCCAGAATAGAGCTATTGTCTGTCCTTCCAACAGCTTTAAATGGCATACTAAGTTCCGCCATCAGTTAAAGATCGCCAGCTGATTTTATTTATCCCTTTTCAGGCTTTTGGTGATTTTGATGCACCTAGTGCGTGTCATTAAGCTCTGGATTTTCGCCTCACCTTTCCACTGCCTCATGTTCCAACAGTCAGTGCTGTTTAGTCTAAATCCTTATTGAACGGACAGAATCACAAAGGAAGCCAGGTTTGTTTTGACTTGAAGAAATTTAGTAGAAATTAGAGGAAAGCTAAGCTTAATTTTGAAATTTTTCTACCTTTTGTTTTGGAGGGTTTTTCGTTTGGTTGACATAAATCTTGTCCTATAATCCGTGGGGCATGTCGACACACTGATCTCATGTAACAGCAGTCATTCTCTGTTTATGAAGCTGCCCTATTGCGTCTTGTGCTGCAGTTAATTTTGTCCTCGCTGACAACTTCCTGTTATTGGTAGTCACCGTTATGCACCAGTCCTCTAATACCATCCCTGGTTATCACGCGGACAGCTCATGAATACTGGCGTTCATGGTCTTTGGTTTGCCGATGTCCAAACTAGAATGGTTTCTAAGGGGAACTTCTGTCCACTGAGATGAGCTGGAGCTCCGCGTTCATTTGATTCTCTGTATTTACTCTAAATAATTTTATTTTTAAGTCTCTACAATCAGGATATAAAATGTTGTACGGGGCGATGTAATGATATCATCCAGTTAGATCAATAAAAGGGTTTCTATCTAAGGACCACCAGCTGATTGCATCATTTTCTTGACTTTGCAGGAATTGCTCCTCCTGGTTGAGCATGTGGCGACAGAAGATCAGCAGTAACTGAATAAAGCCTCAGCCAAAATACCTGAAAAGGGCTTTTCTCCTTTTGATAAATTATCTTATTGCATTTTGACAATATTTTCTAGAAGCATCTACTAAACATAAACCTCCTATTAAAGAAAATATTTGCAAGTAAAGAGCAGAAAGTTGTACTCACAGGCGACTCTGCCAGGGGAATGCAGGTTTAGTTCCAAGAAGCATAGATGGTGAACAGATTAAAGTGTTAAGCAGAATGCTGAGCGAATGAAAGCAGGAACTAGGAGCAGAACACAACCCCACCTTTTTGAAATGTTGAAATCGAGACTTGCCTAACTGACAGGAAATGAGACATTTTTAAGACGTACTCTCTCTTCAAAGCGTTTGCCAAATATAGTTGTTTATATCTTGCATCAGCACCTCAGACTGAATTAGCTTCTTTAGCATTTCATGTTGGTTGAACTGGTGAGCTCACTTTATGTGATGTTGGATATATTTTAATCTGTTTCTGTACTTTGGACTGTGGAAAAAAAACAGTGAACTGTCCATCTTCTGACTCTGGAGTCTTTGCTGTCTCTATAAACAAAGCTTGGGTTGGTCCATTAGACTAAGACCATGTTTCTAGTGCTGCTCAGAAAGCCCCCGTCTTTCCCATCCAGGCTCAGATATAAGGCTGAGCCGGGAGGTTTCTTTCCACCCTGAAATATGATGTTACTTTAGGGATGTTTAAAGGAAAAGTCCGGTCAGCAAGGAATAATCAATGGATCATCATCTATGCCTAAAACTAATATGTTTGCGGTGATTTAATGAATTTGGCATTAATCAATAAAAAATAAGAACAATATTTTTCGTCACGATCACCGAGTCTGGCAGCGGCCATTTTTGCCCAAATATAGAAACCCCTCCCTCCTGCCATCACAGTGCGGTAAGCCTAGCGCCATTCTCCCCGCTTTACAAGCAAAATCAATGGGAACTACTAGACACACTCTCACCAGAGCTATAGTGAAACTGACAATGCCCACGTGCATGGCAGCTGGATGTTGAAATACATCGGGTAAAAGTGAAATAAAAAGAGTTATTCCACCTTTCTGATTCCTGATCCTCCACGGACGGGTTGGTCGTTGGATCGCCAA